TGGATGGGTGGGTGGGTGGGTGGATGGATGGGTAGATGGGTGGGTGGGTGGATGGATGGATGATGGAAAGATGAAGGGATAGAAGGATAAATAGATAGATGAATGATGTGTGGGTGAAGCAATAATGTGCTCATTTTTTATTTAAACATTAAGTTTTAGATTTGGGAAGTTTAGTAGAAGGTAAGGTTGAAAACAGTAAAGTATAAAATATCTAGTTGGGCTTTCTGAATTGTAATATTTTCATAGTTTTCTGCAATATTTGGATTAAAAATATTTTACTTTTTCACAATATCACCCCCACCAGGGCGGTACCAGGGATTGAACTCAGGCCCTTGCGCTTGCCAGACAAGCACTTATTCTACTGAGCCATCTCCCCGGCCCCTATATTTTACTTTTAACTTAGAAAAATAATGTTAAATTTATGAAGAATAAGTATAAGTCAAGTTTCAAGGCTGAATTAAGTTGAACCGGATCTAGGGCTGTGGTGGAGTGCCAAACAGGCAGTCAACTTGTACACCCAGCTGAACTGAACTAGCATGGTGCTAGGGATGGGAGGCCCCCATGAGGATTGTTGCCAGCAGCAGAAGAGGCAGAACTGGAGGAGAAGAAAAGAGGCTATTAGGGAAGCTGTTTGGAGAAGGTGTTGGAGCCGTGGAAGCTGCTGGTTCTGTTGGGCTGTTCTGCTGGAGGACCTTGGCATGCTGGCTTTCCTGATGCCCTGGGATGTTCTCCTCAGAGGAGGAGCTCAGGACCTCGTTGTTACTGAGGACGGCTGTGGTTCCCATAGGGCAAGCTGTGTTCCTCAGTTTGAGCATCCTCCTGGCTCCAGAGGGCGAGAAGGTGCACAGCTCAGTCTCCTGGAGAAGCTTGTCATGTTGACTCTTGTGATGGGAACTCAACTTTCCTCATCATTGGAACAGTGTGGGACCACACTGTTGCCTACAATAGCTACGGCACTTTTCGGGGGAGTTCCAGCTCTTACCTTGAGTGTCATTTCCTGGCTCCAGTTCGGGTCTCTCAGCCTGCTAGTACACAGCCTTTGTCCTGCTGGCATAGCTTCCACCATGACCTTTGGGCCTTCCAAGCACAGATCTGTAAAACAGGCCTGCATGGGACCTTATCCTGGGCTCTAGGCCTCCATTTGGACCTGTGGGAGGCATTGTTATGGGCTCTAGGTCTTCAGCTGGGCTCATACAACTGGGACATTATTGTAGGATCCAGGTCCTCAGATGGACACTTTGCTCCTCAGTGTGTGGTCAGATTTCCTATACTCTTCCTGTGATTCTTCATGTGATTCATTATAAATAGTCTTATAAAATTTGTGCTCTGTTTTGTATTGTTCCCCTTTCAAAACCCCAAACTATGACAAGGACATAGGTCTTTTAGTTCCTCATCTGTCATGTGTACCTATTACTTTTGATTTATATCAGCCTCTTTCCCTTGAACTCTCCGTTGACATTTTATTGTCGGAACAGGACTCACTGCAACACTGATGAGCTTCCCCTCCCCCCATTAGGACATCTGCAAAGCCCTGTGGTGCCATCGGATTGGAAGAAAGTGTGAGACCAAGTTCATGCCAGCTGCAGAGGGCACCCAGTGTGGGCAGGACATGGTAAGAAGCCAATGCTGGCCCAGTCTTCAGTGTGAGGGACCATGCTTCCTGGGATGTTTAACCTGGGGCTTTGCATATTCCTGTGCGTACACTTGTTTGGATACCCATGTCAAAGCATCTCCATTTCATATTGATACTCATTATCGCTTTCGTGGGAATATAGTTAATAAGTACAAAAGTTAATCAATAGATGGTGAGTGCACCTATTTAGTAAGAAGATACACCAGGCACACCATCTGTTCCTGCCTGGGAAGGCACTGGCAGCCCTGGCCTCCTGGATCCTTCCCAGTCAGGTTTCTTTTTCTTAGTGATATCGTTGTGGTGTTCCCACAAAACAATCCCTGCGTTATTACATTTTGTTTATCTTCAAAGAACTGTTGAGTTAACTTTTGATAGCACTTTAAATAATTTTACCTTACAGTTTAAACCTAGCTTTTCTCTTTGCATTGGAAAGACCATAGCCCATCAGAGAGGACCCAGGACCCCGGGTCAAAGCGGCCGAGTGCTCTGCAGGAGCGCTGTTTGTTGTATGTTCTGTGTGTCGCCGTGCACTTGTGTGGAGGAGATCAGAGCACCTAGATGTGCTAGCAAACACCCCTGTACCTCTGGCCTCCACAGAGCTGCCTAAGCCTTCTAAGACCTCCGCCCGTCCCCATTCTGCCACTTGACTAAGATTCGATTTATGTTTTAGTGCCAACCTTGGACTTCACGGTGGCACTCTGAGGGGCCATGTGAGCTTCCACTGCCTGTTTGTGCATGCACACACACACACACACACACACACACACACACACACACACGGCACTGGATCTCCCGTCACTGTGGATACTTAGTATGAATTAAACCAACACTCGGCCTAGGGCAGTACTTGGTGGAAGAGAGCTTGCCTAGCATCCATGTGGCCCTGGGCTCCATCCCCAGCACTCCCAAAGGGGAACCACAATAAAAATAAATTTAGCAAGGGGCCGGGGAGATAGCTCAGTAGAATAAGCACTTGCCTGGCAAGCACAAGGGCCTGAGTTCAATCCCCGGTTCTGCCAAAAATAAAGAAATAAATTTAGCAATGAGTCTATTCCCCCTTTGTGGAGTCTCCCTGCTTGGCACTGGGCCCGTGCCATCCGTAGCACTGCAGAAGGGTGCTACCTTCTAGTTTCCACTCTCGTATCTTCATAGGAGGCTGCAGAGGCTCAGAGCATGTAACTTTTCCCGATCACACAGATCGTAGACCTGAGAGCTGGAGCTGGCTTTGCTCCCCAGTGTCAGCTTGTTTACTCTCCCACACACGTCCCTGTGTCCATGGGGCTTGTGTACAGCATGAGGACTCTGTCAGCAGTGCCCAAGCCAGAAACACCTGTGTACACGTGATGAACTCCTGAGAAAGTGCCCACTGTCACGGAGCATACTGGCCACTGACGAGATGGGAAGTTGTGTCGAGCACCACGGGGCACCGCTCAAAGGCGTGGGTGTGTGTGTGGAAGCTGCATCTCCACACGGTGGACTCCCATTTCTGGACACCAGTGGGCACCTGGAGTTCTGACCATATTAAACCTTGCTTGACTGTACTTTTCATAGAGAGAGAGAGAAAAAGAGTGAGAGAGAGAGAGAGAGAGAGACAGACAGACAGACAGACAGACAGACAGACAGAGAGAGACAGAGAGAGAGATTGAGAGACAGGACCTGCAGGCCACACACCCTTAAAATCATAAGGCTTAGTGTATGAATTAGGCATGATAGGAGATTAACTGCAGGAAGCTACAGTGGTAAAATAGAATACTTGTCACAGTATCCTGTAAGTGTGGTCTCTCTCAAAATACATTCGTCCCTCAGAACATCACATTCATTGATTCCTGAGCTCATGAGGACAGCCAAGACTGACAAGTACTGAAGAACCATTTTTGGCATAAGAAAATGCAAATACTTAGAAACACTTCGTGAAGTTTCCCAGTGCCTTCACAATGTACCGGGCTCATCGTAGCCTTTTCTGGGCTCGTGGTGGTGTCCCTGCTCACCTTTCTGTGACCACGAAGAGCACTCACAATGCGCAAAGTAGAGAACTGACAAGACATAGGAGGTGGGGCTGGGCTGTGCCCGAGCTCCTGGGACCCACGTAGGTGCCCACGCTGAAATAACTCTCCTTGTCAAGATGTGGCATGTGCAGGATTGAACAAATTCAGGAGCCGAAGGTAGAACCGTGTCAATGTCCTGTTCTCAGCCTTCTTCCAGCGACCAGGAAAGATGGTGCCTCACCCACTCAGGGGTGACAAAGATGCTGTGCCCTAGCATGAGGTATCAGCACACAGGTCACTGGAGCATGGCACCTGGTTCTGCAGTCCAGCATCTGATAACCAGCACGGTGAGGACACGAGGGATGGGAGCAGTGGTCCAAGGAGGCTGTGCTTTACCCCCAGGGCAGGATAGAGGGGATAGGATGGTGCACGACTTCATCCTGTTGCGCAGAATGATGCAGGTTAAAAATCAATGAATTGTTCCTTTCTAGAATGTTCTATTCCATATTCTCAGACCATGGTTGACCGCAGAAAACAAAGACCTCAAGCATCCAATGCAAACGCAGGAAGGAAAAAGTCCTTTGTTGGGTGCTGCCCTTGGTCAGACAAAAGGAAATGGAAAGCAAAGCCACAGAGAGGGAGCTGGTGTCTTGGAGTGCAGGATTGACGCTTTCTGTGAACTGCCTGCGGCTGCATCCGGAGCGCTGTGTGTGCCCCTGTGTGTGCCTGCATGCGCACCCCCGGGACCTAAGTAGCCTCCCCTAACTCCTTGGGAGACCACGAGCCTGCGGTTCAAATTCTCTGAAAGGTGATTTTTAAAAACTGTTTTTTAAGTGGAAAGTTTCTTAAAGATACACTGGTAGGAATAGCAAAAGATAGATTTGCAAGAAAACTAATCGCATCTGTGATTATCTGAACAAAGAACGGGAGACGATACAAATGTCCATCAAGAAGAAACTGGCCAAGAAATGAACAACGTTGGGTGGAGTGTTATGTAGGTGTTAGAATAAAAAAGAAGGGGGAAGCTGTCCACAGCCTTCTGAGAAATGATCTATGGAACATACATGACATAGAAAAATAGGATGGATGGGCTGGGGAGATAGCTTGGTGACATAAGCACCTTCCATGCCAGCCCCAAAACTAGGCATGGGGCACATGCCTGTGATCCCAGCACTGGGAAAGCTGAGCCAGGAGGATCACTACAAATCTGAGCTGCGTAGTGAGACCCTATCTCATATAAAAAAGAAACAAGAAAAAAAGGATGGAAAAGTTTTATCAAAGAAAAGGAAATCCTGAACTATATAATTATTTTCTTATATATTAAAAAAAAATGAAATGATAAGCCAGGCATGGAAGAACATTTAATCCTAGCATTTGGGGAGGCTACAGCAGGAGGACTGTGAATCCAAACTTAGCCTGGTTAACTTATCAGCTTAGAGGGACCGTGTTTGAAAAAAAAAGTGTCAGGGTTAGAGAGACAGCTCCGCAGCATAAGTGCCTACCTGGCAAGTGAAAGGGCCTAAGTTCGATTCCTGTATGGGAAAAACAGAACAAAAACCTGGCACTGTAGCTCAGTGTGAAGGCTCTGGGTTCTGTTCCTGGTACTGCAAATGAATAGGTAAAGGGGTAAACCATATACGTTGAAAGAACATGTCAACATTCAAAGTTACTTCAAATTTTCTTAGCATAACCCCTATCAAAAGCAAAACAGAGCATGTTAACCTAAAGATGTATGAAGTTGCTTTCACCCTGGTGCCACAAACTCAGAGGACACAGAACCGTGTGTGGAGGTGCCCTGGAGAGGCCACCATCAAGATGCAGACTGTGAGAGGCTGTGCCGGACAAACGAGTGAACTAGCAGGAAAGAGAAGATTAAGAGAAAGGGTAGACGCGATGCTGAAGAGCCATCAGCTAACGAGACAGATGAATCTCATTCCAGATGGGAAAGACAGCGAGGCAGGTGGAATTCGGAACCCTGGACGTTTCAGGATGTTATGGAGCTATTGGAAGTTGCTAGGCAGGATAAGAAATTTTCCCTCTATTTTTGAAGTCCTTAATTTTGGAGATTTCAAGGTTGAGGAGAGAAGGGGGAGAGGTGAAGGGACTTGGAGACTCATAAGGTGGGGTGCTGGCTCCGACGTTCTCCTAAAGCTACCGTGTGCGTCTTAGAAATTTCCCTTTAGAAACCAGTTTAAAAAACTGAAAAATGGTGGCACAGAGCTGTGATATCAGGACTCTGGGAGACCAGAGTAGAAGGAATGCAAGTTTGACCCCAGCCTGGGCAGCTTTGTGACTTAGCAAAAGCCTGTCTCAAAATAAAAAATAAAGAGCTGATGGTGTCCCCTCAGTACAGAGGCCCTAGATTCAGTTCCTGGTACCACAAAACAAAAGCCACAGTGGGATGCTATGACAATGTCACTGTCCACTTTGGACCTGTGGACTCTGCCAGGTATGAACACCATGTGGGAGGTACCGGCGTGACCCACTGTGCAGCTGCCCACGGGTGCCCAGCAGAAACAGGTGCAGCCAGTGCCCCCTCCGTACCACGCATACACTTCCTTTCCACAGGCCTCGCTAGACTCGGAGACCTGAGGAAGTGGGGTGCTGGCTCCACAGTTCTGCCTACGTCCCTGCCTCTGTTCAGGAAATTCAGTTCTCTTCTGCATCTGCAAACCAAGACAGATTCTCTTACAAGTATTTTCTGAGTTATCAAACTTGTGGATTCTTTTTTTTTTTTTTTCTTTCTTTCTTTTCTTTTCTTTCTTTTTTTAATGTATTTGGTTGTTGCAGCGTCTCACTGTGCAGCTCAGACTCATGGTGATCCTCCTGCTTTTACCCTCCCCAGAGCTGGGATTACAGGCCTGCGCCACTATACCCAGCTCTGTGGCTGGCTCAACCCACCCTGGGGGTGGGACTGGTGTGGCATGTGGTGCCTGGTATTGAACCGCGCTCCTGGCCCTTGCCTAAGCTTGCCTAAGCAGGCGCTTTAGTCTGCTGAGCTAGCTTGCCGGCCCCTCTTTTCTGTTTTTTTTTGCCTCCTATTTTGGAAAGCTGCAACACAACATTTTTCTTTAACACAATACAACAAAGAGCAGCAACAGCGAGCACACACCTGGCCTCCCCTCCTCCCTGCAGGCTTTGTGCAGGTGTGCACCGCCAGCCTCGCTCTCTTCTCTGCTCTCTCAAGAGGGCTCAGGTTGGGGCTGGGGAGATAGCTCAATAGAATAAGCGCTTGCCTGGCAAGCACAAGGGTCTGAGTTCAATCCCCGGTTCCGCAAAAAAAAAAAAAAAAAAAAGAGGGCTCAGGTATTCCAGGACTCGGTCCCCACTCCAGGATCTGCACTGACCTCAGGGGACTGCTGGGCTTTAGTGGGTCACCTGCAGCAAGCCAGGCAATGATGGGAAAAGAAACACTTTTGGTGTTTGCCTTTCCTGTTTATATATATATTTTTTATTCCTGCTTACAGACAAGAATAAAAGAATTGAATGGGTGAGGCTTTCAAAATGACTTGTTTCATGATTCAGTTTTTTTTCCTTGAGTAATCTTAAATAAGAACCATTTGAATTTGCCGTTTGTGCCTGTCAGCAGGGGTCAGATGGCAGAGGTTGTCCAGTTTTAACCTAGGGATCCATTACTCGTGATCCTAGTGTGGTTTTCCACTTATACAAGTAGTATGTTTCCCTGCAGCTAATTCTACTCCCAGCATGCAATACTGGGATCACCTGGCCCCACCCAAAAGCCAGGCTCTGCTGTGCCAAGCAAGTGGCCATGGCGGGCATCTTCCTTCTGTCCCTCAGCTGACAGCTTGGACTGCTGAGCTCCTCACAGGTGACGCCACACCACAGCAGGCCTGGCACTGCTACACAGAGGGTGACGCAGTGCCAGCACTGGAGTGGCAGAAGTCCCACCCCACATGGGTTTCCACAGGAAGCAAAAGCACTGAGTGTATTTTCTGAGAAAGGGGAGGTGACCCCATCTCCAGCCGTGGGAGATGGTAGAATTCCGCGCAGACTGGACAGTGGGGTGACCTGCGCACGGCCCCAGTGTAGCAGTGCAGCTCCAGGCCCAGCTGCTCCAGGGCGGATGCACCTAGCCCCAGCCTGCAGCTGGACTCCCCTCCTGAGCCTCGCCCGCCCTGCTGGGAGCATCCGCCCTGGGCAGCTCTGCTGCGGGAGAGAACGGCCACATCATTGTCCGTGTCTGTGCAGCACTCCTGCGTGAAACCTGCTCGCTTCCTGGTGCTTGAAGGTTTGAAAAAATCATTTTTCTATTCACCTCTAGAAGAGATGATCAAAAGACATAATATATTTGATTTTTTTTTTTTTTGCAAATTACAGTAAAAGATGCTATTTACAGTGTAAACATTCACTCTATGTTTCGGTCACCCCTCGTCTGTGTGAATATACAGTATAACGCCAAGCTTGGAAGATCTAAGAAGCAACATTGCAGGCGCCTTCCTTGCCTCTGCCACCTGGGCAGGGGAGTGAGCATGTTCCTGTGTCACGACTCCCCACTAGGGTAGTGAGGGGACGAGCCCACCTGCCGTCCACAGCACATGTGAATGTTGTGTTTCTTTCTTCAATGTTTAGTGGTGCCGCGGAGGGCAGTGTGTGAAGCACGGAGACGAAGGCCCCAAGCCCACCCATGGCCGCTGGTCAGACTGGTCACCCTGGTCCCCCTGCTCCAGGACCTGCGGGGGAGGCGTGTCCCACAGGGATCGCCTCTGCTCCAACCCCAAGTACGTGTGCCTGTGCCTTAGCTGGGCTCTGTTAACTCCTCACTTTCCACCAGGTCATGCGACATGCGAAGGAGGAGGGCACTAGACACCAGCACTTTTTTTAAAATTAATTTCATTGTGAAACAAATAACAATGAAACAGTTTCAAAACAGGTTAGTAGGACAGTTACAGTAATTAATACATTGCATATTGTTGTCTTCATAGTTATTCATAGGTCAAGATGCAGACATGATATCCTGTCCAAACACTATTAGTACAAATCTTTCTTCTCATTGAATTAAGAAATAGTAGCTGTATATCTATCCTAACTATTTTGTATATACAGATATATAGATATTTCACTACAAAATGGTTCTTCATTTATATCCCCCTTTTTGGTTTAGTTTTGTTAGAGATGGGTAATTCCATTGCCATTTAAGTATTGTAGGTGTGTGAATTCAGCAAAATATTCCAATATAGTCCAGTAGTCCATAATAATAGTAGGTTATCCGTAGGACTGGCAATGTCAGAAGTTGTTGACTTGAGCCTTTTACAGCTTAGCATATTAATATGGCTTTACGTTTTATACCTCATTTTTATACTTTTCTGCTGGATGGTTAATACCAAGAGAAAGCAAGACCTATGTAACAAAAAATGTAACTTTTGTATCTGATAAGGTCAGTCAAATCCCCTCAGGATTTACCCTGAAACCCTGTGCCGCAGTTTGCAGATCCTTTGTCAGTGTCAGCCATGTGGATGAGTCACGGCCACTGCTTGACCAATTTGCTCTCTGTGAAAGCCTGAGTCCAGCGCTTCTTTTCTCTTTAATATACAAGGTGTGATCAAATGCACAGTCAATGCTGAGTGTTACTGAGGGAAAAGCCAGACCGGGGAGAACATAATCAGGTGACCCCATCCTCCTTATGAACCAGACCTGTAGCACCCTGTGATTTCTAGCTGTGCCCTGAAGTCAAAGGGACCTTGAAAGAGATATATTTTGAACGAATTCCAAGCATCAAGGTAGCTGGGGAGATAGCTCAGCAACATAAGCACCTGCCTGGCAAACTCAAGGTCCTGAGTTCAATCCCCAGTACCAAAAAACATCAGGGTAAGCCAAAACTGCGCAAATAAAGACACTACTGAAAGAGGACTTCCAGAACTGCTTCGGAAAGCAGCAAGGCTAGTGGGATAAGTGTACTAGATGTGAGGGAAAAGATTTTGAGAGAGATTCATGACAGTATGTCTTTTACTGTAGTACTTTTTCTTAAAACTTAAAGGTGCACCATAGATTTTGATCACATCTTACAGGATTTCCTGAATCATGCAAAAAATAACCAACCCATATTTAGTGATATTCATGAAGTAGATTTTAACTATAAATATTTGAAGTACCAAAGGTCTGCTTAAATAGCCAGCTCCCTGGAATAGTGTATGGCACACAGGTGAGGAGGAATCAGTAAGACCAATCCTTTTGTGCAAAAGCAAAGCCCAAAATTTTGTTTTTCCATCTGGCACGTTCACTGATCCACTGGGCTTCTGTTGGAGGACAAGTTGGTGTGGGAGAATCACCATAGAGCCAGGGACGGGGCTTCTCATCCTCCCGGGCTAAGATCTAAGCCATCCTTCCCCATGCTTCCCACACCTACCCCCAGCCCCATCTGCCCACCAGGTGCTGTCCCCTGGAGTGTATGCAAATCCCACAAGTGAGCAGGGTGGTTCTAGATGCTGCCTGACTTGGCCCTGATGTCCTGGCCTAGTCACAGAGAGGTAGGCAGTGGAGAGAAGTTGTGTCACACCAATGCAGGAACATCTCAGCAACTGCTGCCCAGAATGCTTTTTTTTTTTTTTTTTTTATTGACACAAAGTCTCATATACAGATTCAGGTGGCCTTCAACGGCTCTTGCATGTATGATCCTCCTGCCTCAGCTTCCCAAGTGCTGGCATTACAGTTGCGCATTGTCACACCTGGCTTCCAAGCGCACTTCCTGAGCTTCCCGCTCACGGTAGATTGCAGCTGTAGCCCCGTCTGCCCTGCACATGTCCATCCCCAGGAGGATGAGAGTAGCGATGTGAACTCTGAGAGGTTTCTAACTATAAAACAAACATTCCAGACCATCCCACGGCGGGAAGTTCTGTGAGGGCTCCAGGCGCACCCTGAAGCTTTGCAACAGCCACCAGTGTCCCCAGGACAGCGTGGACTTCCGTGCTGCCCAGTGTGCAGAGCACAACAGCAAGCGGTTCCGCGGGTGGCACTACAAGTGGAAACCGTACACACAGGTGGAAGGTAAATCTCCAGCCTCGCTTCCTAGCCACACCCTGCACTCCGCCACCTTAGCCTGTTAAAAAATTGTGATAAAATTGTGCTTGCTAAGGCAGCATTCAGGTAGACCAGTTGTCCTAGCTCTGGGCGGTCACTGCCATGCATTCCGTCTGTCCTGGGAGTGGCTTTTACCTGGCCTGCCACACTGCCCTGGCATCTTAGCTGCCTTTGACCAGTCATGGTCAGAAGGCCCCAGGCCAGGCCGAGGACAGTGGCACAAGATAAGCAAATTGGCCTAAAAGTCAATTCTTTATCTTTAAAAAATAGCATGCATTTCATCAACTGCGTGAAGATATTCAGTAATAATTTTAAATTTTGTTATTCTCCATGAGAATTTTTCATATTATTAAAAAATGATAGTGACCCTTCTCATGTCTACAAAAGAGCAGCAACATGCAGTAAAGCATTAATGTTGTAGGAAGTCAACAAATATTTATTGAATGCCTACTATGTGCCAACCATTACATCAAAGATCAGTAAGGAGCAGGAGAGTTAAAATTAGGAGCAAACACTAAGAAATAATAACAGCAAACGTAACAGGGAGACCACTGAAAAATGTCTTTGCTATATGTTATTTTGTGGGAGTTATTTTATGGGGGAAAAATAGAAAATCTATCTAAAATTCAGAGCAAAATGATCCGAGCTTAAGTATCTTTCTTATTTGTGTTTGTGTGTGTATTTCTTTTTAAGATCAGGACTTATGCAAACTCTACTGTATCGCAGAAGGATTTGATTTCTTCTTTTCTTTGTCAAATAAAGTGAAAGATGGGACTCCATGCTCGGAGGATAGCCGTAATGTTTGTGTAGATGGGATATGTGAGGTAATCATGATTGCTTCTTCATTCAACAAATGTCTCCGGATGGTCTGCTTTGCACCAGGCACCCTGCAGGGCTAGAAAGACCAAATGCATAAGAAAACCCCTTGCTGCAGGTCACAGGCAGGGGGGAGAGGCCAGAGGTGCACGCTGATGGCTCTGCTTTGTTGCGCTGCTAGGCGGAGGCCAGGGATGCTGCTCTTAGCTGTGGGTCTGGGACATTGGAGAGCACCTGGGAGAAGCATGCATCTGTAAGCTAGACCCACCCAAAAAGCTGGCATGGAAGAGGGGTGCTGGGGAAGCAGAGAGGACAGTGTGGTACCCAAAGCTGGGGCTGGTAGGAGCTGATTCAGGCACAGGAGCAACAGAGGTGGACACAACTAGGGAGGGATGGGCTGCAGCCTCGCTGTGGCCACCACTGCCACAGCAGGAGTTGAGAGTCCTGTCCTTGTACCCATGGAGAACAGGCGTGGGGTTAAGGCAGTGGAGCTTTAGGATTAAGGTGCACTTTCTGGGCATTCAGGAGAGGCAGGGACTGCAGGGAGCCTGAGGCCCTCTTTTCTGCTGTCATTGTGCTGTGACCCCCTCAGTAGCTCAGCTCAGAGTGCCACAGGATAGGACAGCACAGGAGATGAGCACATGAGAGAAAGAAGACAGGCAGGGAAAGTGTAGGTGGCCAAGGGACCCATGAAGGCGTAGTCGGGCATGGTGGTATGGCGGTGCACACCTACACTGTCAGCACTCAGGAGGCTGAGGCAGGAGGATGGGTATGAGATCAAGGTCAGCCGGGTCTAGTCAACCAGGTGCTGTCTCAAAAAAAGAATAAGAGGAGCTTGTTGCCCTTCACAAAGACAAGGATGTGGAAGAATTCTGACATAGATAAGATGCCACCCAAGCAGATGCGCTGCAGGGAACAGCTAGTCCTGCATGCAGAAGTGAGTCCATGCTCATGTCCAAAACTCAGGCATAGTTTTAGTTTCCTCCACGTGTGGCCTTGTGACCCGTGTCATCCCCCAGCTCTCTAGGGCAACTCTGCTAGATGCACAATTATATGTTGATTTGTTAAATACCTTATTATTTTGAATGCCCACTAAGAACATTAGATAGTCAAATACCTGTAGGGTCACAGTCCCTTATGTGCAATTCTGAAACCTAAAAGGCAGGAGAAAAATGAAAATCCAAAGAGCTATGAGCGTTTAGGGACCTGGACTTATTCAGTGCCCAAATGTGCCCCAAGTGGAAGTGTGACCATCAGTGGGTTTTCTTGCCCCTACATGTCATCAATACGTATACATGGTACTCTAGAAACACGAATATGTGCCTTATGGGGTAGCCAGGGTCCTGCTGGGACTCTCGTAACCACCGGATGTGCGTGACACTTTGCCTTGAGAGATCACACGTCTTTAGCTGGTCCCAAGAATTCCAAGGAAGGGATTGTAGGCTGGTTATCTTGGTTCTGAATGGATTTTTTTTTCTTTTTCTGTTAAATACAGAGCCCATTCCATTTAGTAAGAAGCATGTAAAACAAGGATCACAGAAACTATCAAGGCTCCCCAAATCCTATGATTTTGCTTCTTCTGATTTAAGAAGGGTCTCCCTTGTGGCATCTTCCACATCTCTGTCATCACCCCAGAAAGCTTGAGCACAGCGACACCCTAGAGGACCCTGTGTGGGACACATTCCCTGCCATTGTACCACGCTGCTTGTGTCAGTGTGTAATTTACCTGCATCTGCAACATGAGAACCCACAAGCTTAGTTTATGGCTGTAGGTACTGCCATTGAGAGCAGCGTTGTAGACATAGGCTGCATATCGTGTTTAAAGGCTTCCAGGGAGTGTAACTACAGTCTCACTGTGCACATATTGGGTATCCAATAAATATTTGTTCACCATCCCCCTGTTGGGGAGATTTTCAGTGGTAGTGGGGAGGAGGTCGACTGTGTGAGTTGGTGACATTATTGCTTGTGTTGTCCTTTCTTTCATGAATGACACGTGACCTCACGGGTCCTCCAGAGAGTTGGTTGTGACAATATCCTTGGATCTGATGCTGTGGAGGACTCCTGCGGGGTGTGCCAGGGAAATAACTCAGATTGTATGACTCACAAGGGTGTCTACAGCAAGCACCACCACACCAACCGTGAGTATTTCAGAGACACCTGCAGGGCTCAGGCTGGGATGGTTTGAACTGTAGCTTGTCTGGGGGAGGAGCTGAGGAGAATGTATAAGGATCAGCTATTCAGACAGCAAAGACCTTCCCTGTCCCCTTTCTGCTGCAAGAACCCCGCAGTTGTCTAGCCTTTGATTTTGACAGGAAGTGGCTGCTAGCTTTTTAAGAGTGGAAATCATCAGAGCTCTACTCCAATCAATAAAAATAAGTCATATTTGATTGAACATACTTGATTAAGCAAACACATCTACCACTTCTCTCAAACACAGCTCCTTAAGTTTTGATTAGGGAGAGGCTCAGTTCAATGAAATTCCACATTTCCCCCATTTCTTTTATCCAGAGTATTACCACATGGTCACCATTCCTCCCGGAGCCCGGAGTATTCGCATCTATGAGATGAACATATCTACTTCTTACATTTCTGTGCGCAATGCCTTCAGAAGGTACTACTTGAATGGACACTGGACTGTGGACTGGCCAGGACGGTACAAGTTTTCAGGCACTGCCTTTGAGTACAGACGGCCCTATAAGGAGCCCGAGAGCTTAACCTCTGCTGGACCGACCAATGAAACGCTCATCGTGGAGGTAGAGGCCGGCTTCTTGGTTTGGTGGTCTGTGGCAGTCTTGTGGTTTTGTGCCTCTTGAACTAATTGCAAACACACAAAAATGTATATAGAGTGACCAGAAACAAGAGTAGCCCCTACGTAGGCTCAAGGGGGCAGTAGACCAGTTTCTGTCGTCTTGTGTTCCTGGTGTGTGGTTGAGTTTATGAACCTGTGTCCCCACCTTGAGTCTTCACCAGTCAGTGTCCACTGTATTCTTCCAAAGGTTCAGTGGTTGTAAGAAGCCACTCTTGGGGACCTTGTTTGTGTCTGTGCTTTGGGAGAGACCAGCATTGTTCTGTCATGTCCCATAACAACAGGTCCAAAATGAGCACCCAGAAGTGACACCCATCCTGATGTCCTATCTGCATCACAGCCTTGACCCCTTGCTGGTCACAGCCGTGCAGGGCCTTCTGCCCCAGTGTCTGGGTCACATCCTGATGCCTGCCCTTCCGCTCTCCACACAGGGACACACGGGCTCCCAGAATGCATTTGGGCTTTTTACATGATTTATCCTGGAGGGGCCGGAACAAACTACCACAGCAGGTTGGAGATATGCTAAACCCTTGTGTTTTTTCTGTTTCTGTGTGCAATTTAAGAAAAGTCATGGCTTCAGAAGTTGCCCCACCAGCCTGTACCTTGCTGTGGAGGTAACATGGCTCAGAATCCCTCACACCTCTCTGCAACTGACGGCCCACCCCATCCTCTGCTGTGCTGGGAGATACTCCCCCATTACACTAGCAGAGCTACACCTCCACAGGCCCACCTTAGCCCTTCCCTCCAACCTTGAGGGTATTTCCTGCTACCTTACCCTACACTTACTTCTGTCTGACCATCTGAACCCCTTAGCTTGAATAGTCACAGAGAAAAAGAGATTGGGGATGGCTCAAATGAGTTGGGCTTCGGAGGAAGTTGCTCCCAGTGCAAGAGGCAGAGGCCTTCTACTTGCCCAGCTGTTCCTGTCCCATAACATCTGCCCCTCCCCCCCGATCTGAGCCGTGGGGTCCACAGTGGAAGATATTTTCTCGCGTAGGAAGTCAGGGGCAAGCGTATTCATCAGGTGAACATCATATCAAGGGCAGGAGAGGTGTGGAGTTTGTATCAAGAGGTTATTGGTGAGGTTTCCAGAACAGGATGCGTTCCCACTGAGATCCAAGGGTCTGGTGTATTTTGAGAGGAATTGGTCCAGAAAGCTGGTTTTCAAGTGAGGAAGTGTAGGGTCCAAGTCCAATTCCATGCACTGGAGCCCCACTCAAAGGGACCTTGAGCTGACTGTCTTTACTAATCTCCTATCTTCCCCCTGGATTAAAGGGAGTCCATCCCTGGATGCACATTCCGATGCCTGAGCACAGTAGGGAAAGCTATGACTCATCTTTCAGGAATGGGCATGCATGGTGCCTCCTTAGGTCCTCTGACCCTTTAGAATGTGTGAAGAAGTGAGATGCTGCTTTTTAGAGATCACTTGCTGACTCTCTCAGCTGTGAGCATGCGCCAGGATCTCATAGGAACAGCTGGGGAGACCTCTCATTCCTTTTGGTGGTTGCCCAGGCATTGAAAATGTGTGAGGAAACCCCACATGTGAGTCCGGATGTCTTCCTGGGTGTGCCTGAGTCCAAATGGGGCTGTTATCCCTGCGCAGAAAGTTGCTGTGCGTTTCGGAGGATGGAGTTTTATCACCCGCGCCAGCTGCTTCTGACACTGTTGATGGTTTGAGGAGCTCAGTGCAAGCCACTTTAACTACTGTATGGCTGTGGGGTTCTACTTTCATTTGCTTTGTTTTTCCCTTTTCTGCAGCTTCTGTTCCAGGGCAAGAACCCGGGAGTGTCCTGGGAATTCTCGCTGCCCCGGTCCAGTGCTGGGAAGAAGCCCGCAGCACAGCCTCGGTACACATGGGCTATCCTGCGCTCAGAGTGCTCGGTCTCCTGCGGAGGGGGTAGGTGCCTTCTTCCTACATGGGGGCCTTGGCGTGCACTTCAGGGGGCTTGTCAGGGCTGTAGGGGCTACCAGAGGCCCTTCTGTGAGGAGAGTCGTGACAGTCCCAGGGGACACCATGGATACAGTGGCTCTGAGTGACACTGGGGAACCCCAGCTACCCTCTCCATTTCATCTATGTCCGTGACCTTGAAAAAGTCCAGCCACCCTGTGTGCTGGTGTCCACTGCCATCTCACTTAAGATTATCTTAAGGATGTTCTTGCAACTGGAGAGCGCACCAATATAATTCGCTGTGATTACTAGACGTGTTGGTGGTGAGAAATAAATTGTGTACATACGGTGCAGTGATTCAGGGTAAGATGTTTACGTCTAACTAATCTCGTTCAGGAAAGAGAAAGAAATTTACGTCTGAATTATATACTTAGCCCAGAAAATACGACTTTTATAAGGTCTCAATGAGAATGGTGAGGAAAAACTTGTCACAAAGGTTATCAGGTGACAAGAGTTGGCTTTGTTAACTTAATGTCATAAAAGGTGTAAGCCCAGCCAGGGATGGGGGATGTGTCTCAGCAGTGCAGCCTGCCTGGCAAAAGTGAGGTCTTGAGTTCGATTCCTGGTACTGCCCCCTAAAAAGTCCTATAAAAGCTGTAAGCCTGTGTCTTACTTACTTCCACTAAAACAATCTCAGCTAGAGCCATTATAAACTACCGAATAGAGTGTCAACTGAAAAGGTGCAATTTTAGAAGAAAAGTAAATTATATCTGATAAAACAGATGAGTTTCTAAGAGGACAAATGGGTGGCAGCTAGGTACAGCCTAGGTTTTATCATTAAAACTTTAGCTTGTACAGAATTTAGTAAAAGAGTACACATAGACAAATTTGTGTAATGTAAGAACTTGTAAGTGGAAAAATAACAAAGAAAGGAATCCACCTAGTCTTAATAGTTGGCAAAAAAGTGAATGAAGTAAATAAAGGAAAATGGAAAGATTAACAAAAAGCAATGACCTGAGGAATTAACAGCCCTGGGCCTACCTTACTCCTTGCTATTACGAATGGAGCATGATATTTAAATCCTGGGCACCAGGGAAGCTATTGATTCAGAAATCAAAGGCTTTCTACGTGGAAATCTGACTGCTTCTGCACAGAGGAGAGCAAATAGTTTTCTTGGCCATGAGCGAGTTGGTAGGAGGAGCTCTCCTTTCCCTCCCTCAGAAGAAAAGCTGGACAGCACTACGTGGCGTGGGCTTCTCTGATCAACACGTGAAGGCTAGCTTTTGATCCTTCTTTTCCCCTTACCCGTCTGATCGTCCAACCACAGCTATGCTTTGGTTTTCTCTCTCCTTATTGAGGGCCGTCTAATACATAGTGTTGACTTGGAAGAACAACTGCATCATGAGGCTTGACATTCGCATGAGGACATCGCAAATTTCAAAGCCCTTCTGTTGCACATGTTCAGTTGTAAATCCCACGTGAGCTTCCCAAGGCAGAGGCGGGAGAGAGGGAGCTGCCTTCACTGTACCTATTTCTCTGGTATTTCTAGCGCTTGTACACCACCTCATTACCCTATGGGAATAATGCTTCCATTGAGGGCTTCTGGAGGAAATCAACTTAAAATCCACTCCCCAGTCCCTTTCCCTAAGAGCTTCATTATACAGCCAGAGAAAGTGTAGTTTGTTCTCAATTTTTTTTTTAATGCATTTAGTACAGGGTCTACAGGGTCTCGCAACACAGCTCTGACTCATAGTGATTCTCCTGTTTTCAGCCTCCCAAGTGCTGGAATTACAGGCGCACGCCACCATGCCCATTCTCAGCTGCCGTCTCAGCACACCCCTGGGGCGGGGCCAGCACAGCATGGCAGAGGTCAAACCCTGGCCGCTGTGCTCTGCCTAAGCAGGTGCTTTAGTCCGCTGAGCTATCTGGCCGGCCCTGTTCTCAGTTTTGATGGGAAGTCAGGGTTTCTCACTCCAACAAGGAGGAGTGCAGAGCGTCAGGAATGTCCTCCTGGGAGCTGCGGCTCCTGGAGGACCCTTCTTGGTGAGAGCCATCCCACTCTGCCCCTCTCCAGCAGGACCCCTCCCTGGCTGTGTGCGCATGCTCTGGAAGGGACAGATTCCACAGTGTAACCCACCGGGCCCCCTCCGAGGGCCCCACCTCTGTGTGGTGCAGGCATAAAGTCTCAGTGCCACTGTCTTGTTCTCCCTCTTGCCCGCCCAAAGCATCCCCCAGAACTGTCTTATTTTCTATATGATTAGGTAAAAAAAAAAAAAAAGCCATCTTTGCCATTTATGGAGCACCTGCTCTAAGCTGGCATGCACCAACTTCTCTCAGTCTTCTGAATATAAAGGAACTGGCCAGACAGGGTTCGCATCTGGCTTTTGCAGAATGTTGAGAACTGCCCTTGAGGCCTGCGGAGTGGAGCGGTTCTGCGCTGATCAGGCCGGGGAGGCCTTATCACCTTCCAGAAGTCTCAGGATTGCCGCCCCTTGTGCAAGGTCTGTAGAAATCAGAGGCTTGGAGAGCCGCCTAAGGAACCCCGGAAGGTCACCTGGAGCAGCCGACCTGCTGTCTCCCGAGCACATGGTCATGCCACGTCGCATACACACACCCTGGGTGTCGAACACATTCCACAGCCAGCGCAGTGAGCCGGCTTGCTTCCAGGCAAACATCGTGCAGGGGGCAGCCACTGCTTTCCTTTCCTCATGCTGCACTTTGGCACCGATGATCCCTCGAGAGGACGACCCCAGAAAGGGGCCGCCACCCCTGTGTTCTGTGACCGTGAAAGATTAAGGCGATCACACTTGGGTCTACTGTGCGTTTCTTCTTTGATCTGTGTTGGTGGACTTGTCCAATTTCCTTCCACAGCCTTAAATCGCATAGCTATTCACCGGGTGTTAATTAAAATGATTATTTTAGGAGAGACACTTACTTCTCCAGACATCACCCTATTATATGTAGTTACTTTGATTGGATAGTTTATTAGAATTTGCTGTCTGTGCTTTCTGAACATTGAGAATTTCAGGGTTTAGTAATAGCTAATGACATGTCTTCTGGAATAAAATATTTGGTTAAATAAAATTCTTCCTCAGTTCTCTGGTGAGGGCCTTCTCGCTACTACAAGTTTATTTAAGTCTTGTTATCTGAAAATAGTGTATCTGACTGTGTAAATGGGTAACATCAGCGTGTGAAAATCGAAAATCCATACCGTTCTTGCCTTTTCCATTGTATGAGAGAAGCGCCAAGCAGACAGACAGGAACGGCATGGAACGGCCATCTCCTTTCTCAGCTGCTCAATATGCATCATTTTCACTACATCTCCAGACTTTATCCTCTTAACATTTCAACTTACACAGACTTTCCAGTACGCTGGGTTTGGAACTCAAAGCAGCGTACATATAGGCCACTTTTGTAATTCACCTATTGTTTCCCCCTTCTTTTCTGACAACTTCTTTTTTTACTCTTTTTATTTCTATATAATCACACTCAGGGAGAGTATGATTCTCTCCCCGAGTCTCAGTCGTCATGATGGACCCGGGGACAAAGGGTCACAAGGAGCCCGGAGCACTGTCAGGAAGCAGCTCAGCCAGTCGTGCCCGTCACTGAGCTGAGACCTTTGGTCGGGGTTCAGACTTCGCTGGGCCCTTGTTCTACTTGAAAATTCTCCATCTTTTCTCAAAATGCTGTGGCTGTAACTTTTCCCAGTCGGCACCTGTGACTCAGTCGGCCCTGTGTCTTTCTGAAGCTGATCCAAAGCCTCCGTCTCGCTGGCCAAGCGAAGCACTGGCCACAGTTTGGTTGACGGTGCTGTTTTCCACCCTCCGATATCTGTTGTCCAGTCTCTGGGGCCAAGGCTTTCTGTCTGCATGAAGGTACTTGAACATTGAAGTTTCTCAGACAACTCTTAAAACTAGCTTATAAACTAACGTATTTTATAATAATTTTTCACCAATAATCTCGTCCCCATCTATAAATATTTCTGGAGCTGACTTTTCACTTAGGAGTTCAATTTGAAAACAGAAATGAAGTCATCAGCAACCTTCCCCACCCACGTCTTTTTAATACCGGGTCGTCCTTTCATTCTCTTATGTAGCCAGCTAGTGCGTAGACTTCGTAGCCCATCTGGAGGGAGAGGGAGCCCTGGGCTGTGCTCCTTGTTTCTCCAGAGTGAGTGGCGCGGAGCACCGCAGTTGTTGTTTTGCCTGAGCTGCTTCCTGACTTATCTACTCTTACAGCTTCTGGGCATCTTTACTTCTCAACTACTATGACTTGCTTGTCCAGCAAGTCTTTCTCAGATGTGTGTGGCATTTGGCATCTGGTGGTGTTCTGAGTTTATAGAAGAAAAATGTATTTATATTTAAAAAAAAAAAAAAACAGTCTGGAGGAGACTCTTCTTTGTGAACTGAGTTGTGCGCAAGGATCTGAGAGCAGTCAGGCTGCCTGGCCTTTGGCACAGGACACATCGCAGCTTGTCACAGGCAGCTCAGGGGTGGCCTGTGTCCCATCAGAGTGGCCAAACCCAGATGCCGTTTTAGGAGAGGCAGTGCCTTTGGTCTCTGCACTCAACTATTAGCCCAGACTTCTAGTGTTTTTGCTCAGGTGCTGTTTTCAGGTAGGCCGTCTGCATCCTTGCGTAGTATTCTAGAATGTTCTGAAACTTGGAATCAGAGTGCCTATCCCAAGGGTGAAATCACACAGCTTAACCTGAAATGGATCTGCTTTTGTCTTTCTGGCCTTGGCCCCCCTTGGAACTGGTCAGCTCTAAATGCTTTCTATGTCCTTATCCAATGCCTAAAGGTGTATAGATTACATCTCCATCCCCAAACCTAGTTCCTTGAGAGAGAGAGAGAGGAAAGAGAAAGAAAAAAAAAAAAAAGGTTAGTCTCATGAACACTTTCCGCAGGGCCTGCCCTGCATGACGCTCACTCTATCCACATGTCCATTCCCCAGAGTCCGGGCGAACACAGGAAGTCCACTTTTTTCCAGATAGCAGGAACGCTTCCTGG